TTTTTTTAGCCAGTATAATGCTTTTATGTCATTTGCGGCGGTTATGCCTAAGACTGTTGCTAGAAACAACAAACGTAGCATGTTGAGGCTTCCCATGAACATCAATTTTTGCTTCTTCCATGGATGGAACATTGTGTATATATAATATATATATATATAGCTATTTAAGTACAATTGGTTTAGACAAGTGTGAGGATCTTCACAAGATCATATAAGCATGGCCGTCCATGCTCATTTCTTCAATAATGTCAGAATGTCTAAGGATTCTCTTGCCGTCGAACCAAGTACACAAACGTGTTCTGTACTGAATGCTCCAATATCTTTGCTTCATTTTGTTTTCCAACTCAAATGCTAAAATTATTTATTTAATAGGGTTTAGGAAAGAAGAAAACTAATGCTTCATTTAGATCAAGAACTCACCAATGAAATAAAGCTAGCTTTGTCAACCCGTACTTGGTGATTAGTTTAATTATGGCAAAATGTAACCATTTTTTTTTTTTGCTGCCTCCTAAACTATAAATATTTTTCAGACAATCTTATATTCATAACATGATGATATTTGCTCGCTTGACAAAGATTTTTTTTCATGAAAACTTTACATGAAAATAATCACGTATCTATCACTTTGAATCAATCTTCTATCAATAAGAATTAATATGAACTAGCATGAAAAAAACAAGATAAATGTAACGTGAAGAAAATATATTTTGAGAATAGGGTTTGATGTCCTTAAAAAAGTAGAAGAGAAACAAAGAAAACCTATAAATTTTACACATCTCGTTTTTTTGTAGAAAGAAAAAGAACGTACTTTAAAGTATATGAAATATTAGAAAGTATCCTATTTTTATTTATTTAAGCATAAATGATATGCGTTTCATATACATACTATTATTATTTTTTAATATGACCAGACCAATAAAAAATTATCTTTAATTAGTACTATTAAGATAATTATTATGAAAACTCACAAAATTATCATATATCATCGTTTTTAATTGATTGAAAATATAAAAAACTTTACACTAAGAATGTATATATTATTTATTCATAAAAGAAACTTAATTTTTATCTTTATTATTTCTTCTCTTCACAACGGTGCTGTATAGTTTAGTGTGTAAATTTTATTTGTTAGAAGAAATTTGCATTGGATTGTATCTTTTCGCAGTGTTATCTTTTCATTTGAAGGAAGAGAGGGATGGGAGCTAAAATAGGTCTCATCTAGCGGTTTAGCTTGTCCTTTCTAATAAGCAAGGAGGTCATTAAATTAATAATTGAGAATTAGTATATGTTTCCTAAATTAAATTACTCCTGCAAATACAATACATATGCATGTAACCTAGCGAAGAAAATAAAAAGTTTTTTTTTATTTTTTTTTAAATACAAAATATTTCTTCGCTAGCTGGATTACAACGTGTCTTGAGATTGACCATTTGCTAAAGTCAGCTTGTCAATTGAATTCTTAGTTGACATACAGTTGTGTTCAAACTATGACTTCAAATGAAGTCAGAGGGAGAAGTTAGATACTTTAAGGCCATGTTTGATTAATTTGTAGGTAATGGTGTTATTAATTGATGAATTTTTAAACAATACAGGAATTAAAAAAAAAAGTGTAGTTGAATTCATCCCTGCATCCGTAGTAACTGATGGAAGAATCATCTGTTATTGTGTTATGAGCAAATTATTGGCATTTTAAAAAAATTATAGGTGTGTATTTTTTTTATTTGTGTTATAACTAAAAATATTTATCGATTTTATCAAAAATTAATATCCATTTATTTGATATTTTTAATAACATTTTTTTAATCATGTTTTTTTATGCAAATTTAAATATGAGATTTTGTTTTAGCAAATTGGGTTGCGTATCATTCAAACTAACAACTTATTGATACGAGATTGAATAATATTTTAAAAAATTACATGATAAATGAATGATCCAAGCCATCCTTACAAAATTCAATACAACTTTATCAATAATTTAGTATATATAATAATTATTAATCATAATTAGCATATTTATAATTAAAAGAATGTTCTTATTAATTATTTAATTAATGTTAATTCACAAAATTGTTAATTAATCTAACATTTTTTTAGGCGCATTCCAAAGCTTCCAAACTGATAAGTATCAATTTGTTGCCATGAGCTAAACGTCTGTTTAAGTTGAACACAAGTAAATATGTTCTAAATTCTGTTCGCAAGTTTACGAGTTCGTAATTACTGCATGTTAGATTAAATTTTATAAACTTGATTTTTAAAATTAGATTTTGACAAAAAAAAAAATTCAGGAGGTAGAAATTCGAATCTAAACCTTGTGTAAATTATTCAATTCTTTCATTACTAGCTCAATTTTAGTAAGTAATACTTATATCTAGTTTATGAACACCAATAACTTGTCATTCAATACGATTCAAAGTGTGATCCCACTCAAATTAAAGTAAAAAAAATCCCATTTCCTTTCCTTTGAAGTTCCTCTATGTTCTATAATTTTTTTTTAATTTTATTTCTAGAGGTGCACGTCTTCATCTCTAACGAGTTCCTTAAGCACAAAGAGATATGATAAATATAATGTTTAGAATCTTAAACATACAATTAGACTACTCTTGTGACACGTATTCACTTGAGGTTTATCAGATGAATTGATGTTCCTTAGATTATAGTGTTCCTCAATTAAATGGCCTGATTGTCACCTTAGATTAAAGTATATTTATAAATCTCAAATAAAAAATAACCTGAAATGACTTGATTAATAGTTTAAGTACAGGAATGTCCTGCTCCATCATCTTGGTGCCAGTTGAGAAATTGTAACATCATTTATTGAAGAATATTTGATCCCGCTGTGAGATGTTTCCTCCTTATCTGCATGTTTCTTATTAACTGAAAATGCAAGCATTTTGGGAGTACCAATAGCTGCACCTTCATTCTTCAGCATAGAATCAACCTCCAACATGGAGGATCTATCCGCAGAGTTCTCTTGAACGCACAACAAAGCCACCTGCATGCATCTCATGCTTTTACAAGGTAATGTTGTATCATCCAATGACGGCTCAACAAACTCCACACCTCTACCTTCCCTCCATAGTTCATATGCCTGAAATAATAACCCACATGACTAATTTCAGCATCAAGCAAACCAAGAATTAATCATATTATGGATAGATTAGACAGAGAAAAAAAGAAGTGATAACTGATAACTTACATATTCCAAAAGGGTGATACTTTCACAGTTTCACGTGCGCCATAATAACAAGAAGTCCTCTTTCCACTTATGATTTGCAAGAGAAGAACTCCAAAGCTATAAACATCGAACTTCGTTGAGTATATGCCTTTTCTCATATACTCGGGAGGTACATACCCACTGCAAAGCCAACAGGAAGCGATTAGAGACATGAAGGAACAACCATAAGTCCATAACAACTCAGCAATGATAACTTACTATGTTTCAACAATCTTATGTGTTTGCTTCCAGGTCATATTTCTTGAAAAGTCTAACTATTCCAAAATCTGATATCTTCAGATTCATGTCATGATCTAGCAAAACATTACTAGCATTAAGATTGGTAAAATTTGAGTACTCTTGGAGATAAAAAAGGCCTTGAGTATTGCCTTCAATGATATTGACACGCTTGTTCCAGTCTTGAGAGAACTGATTTCCTTGGATCTGAATCAAGTTTAGCGCTAAATTATTAGTTACAGGAATGTGTAGCTGAAAAAAAGTAGATTCTGGAATGATTGCTAATTTGAAGTTTAATGGGGGACAAACAACAGACCAAAGAGAAAATGATCCAAGCTTTTATTTGGCAGGTATTCATAGATCAGAATCTTCTCATCCCTTTTTGTGCAGTAACCCAGTAGTCTAACCAAATTCACATGTTGTATTCTTGCTGTAAGTGTGATCTCATTCTGAAAGACTGAAACTCTTCAAGGCCTTGATTGGAGGTTTCTGAGAGTCTTCTTACAGCTATTTCCTGACCCCTCCGTAATTTGCCCTGTCGGAATCAAATCATAACTTAGTCATCCGACAATTACTTAACTGCTGCCTCTATTTGAGGCATGGGTTTTATTTGTCAAGATGTATATATAACAGAAAGCCTATGGTCCATAAATATTTACAAGCCTTCTTTTCTGATGTTTAAGTTGTTTACAAAAAGGAGATTTCTAACATTGATTTGTTTGCATAGCGGATGGAAAATTCCCAGCCCTTTGGTTAACTGATCTCTAGAAAACAAGGCATAAACTCGATATTCACTGCAAATTCCGGGACTTTAGTGTTGAGAATAAGCAGGTCCCTTGATACTTTATAGAATGACTATCAAGGCTATAATTTTCACTTATAAACCTTTTGTTACTTGGCATTATTAGGTGCTGAATAAGTAGATTTTTTTCACTCGAAATTTATTCACTTGGGTCAATGTTAAGCCAAGTGACTAGAAGTTGCTTAAGCTGTAGCTCTGATTCATGCAATCATATTAAATTTAAGGGTTAACAATGATTTTCGTGTAAAATTGGCAATTTTTTGGTTACCAATTTTCCACAGATGAAAAACATCATTAACCATAAATTTAATGTAGCACTCTATGTTGAAAAATTACTGGATGTGATGCGAAGAAGTTTTCCCTATCTGAACAATTTAATACCTACAAAATAATATAAAGAATATACATCATCTGATCATCACTATCTAGCAAAGAAATAAAGGGGCTAACTTTAAATTAACAATATCTATTTGCGCGAAGCATTTCATTAACAGATGAATTTCCATATCTTACCTTGTACACTGTACGAAATCCACCCTCTCCGAGCCTATTATCTTTTGAGAAGTTATTTGTTGCCACTTTAATAGTGAGATAACCGAATACTATCAGATCAGAAGCGTTTCCTTCGATATCTTTTTCTGCTGCTGAAAAATATCTTAATTTATATAATATTTTTGTAACAGTGGAACATAAATTAAAGGAAAAAACGTACACATGCCAATCTCTTGATAAGGGAAATTACTTCCTTACCTCGATGGAAGTAGCAAGGCACAATACCCAATAGAAGCGCCAAAGTCAGAGTTGCAAGCACAAGTTCTCGCCAACCTCCTCTTGTGATGATCTTCATCTACTTCTTGAGCTGAAGAATTGCTTTTGAAATTATTTTCATTAGAAAAGTTCTCAAAAGCATAATCTTTATGCATAACAACACTATATATAAATCAACTGTTCTATAACTCACCTGCCCTCGAAAGTTCCCAATTGTTGTCATTGCTTAGTTGGAACACATTGTAACCAAGTAGCCCATTTTCCTTTGCATAAGAAACTTTGGCCTTGATTACCTCCACATCATCAAAATTAACCCATGTCACAGACGCAACAGTGAACTGATTCACCACAAAACTAGCATTGTAATGCGAAACAACTCCGTTTCTCTGGCTTCTAAGGTAGCTCTTTATCAAGCTATAAGCCATGGAACCATCCTTGTAATGGCAGGTCCCGATGGTGGTGCTCCCACGCCACTGTTTGCTCCAGGTGTCACAAGTGTCCACGCATATCCATGATAAGGCAACCCAATTAACAGCTTCTTAGAAGAAAACCTCCTCTACTCCTTGATGCCAGAATCAGTGTTGTCCCAACCTGATGAACCATACAAAGCTGCATGAAAACCTGTAACATTGTCCCTCCTAGGAAGATAGTAATCATAAGCCATAACATGCACCCAATCCAAATTCTCCTGCATTGAATCAAAGGGGTAACTCAAGGAGTTGAAGCCTTAAGAGTTAAGATAAATAACCTGCCATCACCACCAACAACTCTTTTTTGCTGGAGTTTCTTGCCTCAGAAGTTATTGCATATCACGCCACTCCTTCAAAAGGGTTCTGAAATTTTCAAGGTCTGAACCTTGTTGCCTTGGCCACGCCCCAGTGAGGTCTTTGCCGTGAAAGCCATAGAGCCTCGCTGTTGTGATGGAATGATGAATGAAAGAGTTTGTGTGAGAGGATTGGTAAAGCATTGAGGAGAAGACTGAAGTGTCCTCTCCACCACCCTAGATGGATACAAGAGTTGTAACGAAGGGTTTTGGAGCCTCACTGTGGTGGTGAAGGTGGAGAACTTGTGCACCTCCGAAGAGTTGACGAAGATGTTGTAGCTGGGGGAGTTTATGAAAGCGAAAGCACATAAGAGGTGAGTGAAAACCTTGGCTTTTATATCTCATGCAGACATTTCATTGATTGAATAGTAAAAACCGGCTTTCACCCACGAAGGGTGTCAGCAGAAGAGTGAGATTTGAGAAGGAGGAAGAAGGTAAGAACAAGAGTGAAGAAAACGATGACTTAGTTACCAGAAGTGTTGTTTGTCAAAGTCTTCTGCGACGATGAAGAAAAAAAACAATGAACTAAAATTTGATACCACAAACCAAAAAAAATAATAGAGAAAAACTAACAAAAACGCATTTCACAAACGGTAGTAAAATAGAGATTACTTATCCATCCATGAAAAACTCGTATAAAATCCAAGAAAGTCATATATTAAAACTCATAATTTATATTAAAAATCATTAAAATCGTAAAGAGTGATGCCTTAAATTTCAATTAATACTGATTTTAAAGTATAAATAAATATTTTATTATATAAGTAAATTAAGTATATACTATTATATATAATATATAATGAGTTAATCACCTATACACCGTAAGTGTAAAGTTTTTTTACGTTGGCAACCAATTATATCCTTTAATTGTACCATGTCACTATAAAAACATTTAGAGCAACTCTAATGGGAGTTGTTTGTCCCATGAAGCAACTCAAGTCCCGGTTTCTTGCCATTGGAGGATTGACGTGGCAACATGAGTTGCTTGAAAAAGAGAGAGAGTTGTTTCCTCAAGCAACCGTTCCTTACCAGATTTCAAACAGATCTTATTGAACATATTTGGGAACATTTCGAAAATAAAAATGATGAAAATTAATTCCGTATAATGTTTATGTATTTACTATTGCTTTATTTTATTTTTAATATCTACTTATTGTGTATTTTTTCTCGTAATTTATTTTCTTTCATCGTAGTGCAATTATCATTTTTAATAAAAATTTAAATTTGGTTCATAAATGATTAGAAAAAAAATTCTAAAAGTTGAATTTCTTAAAGTTTCTTACCATTGGTTTAAATTTGTGTTTGAGTTGCTTAATGCTAACATGGCACACTAGAGACCACTTTTTTCATTTTTTAATGCATGAAGCAACTCAAATGAGTTGCTTGCATTAGAGATGCCCTTACTTTTAACAGTGACATGACACAATTAAAAAATATAATTGGTTGTCGGTGTAAATTTTTTTTATATTGACGGTATATAGGTAATTATCTCATATATAATATATAAATCAGATTTATGATTAAAAAATAATATAAAAAAAAATGTTTTGGCGTTAGTGTGTAACGTATCCCTGTCCTCTACTCTATTCTCTGCTCCCACTTCATCAGGGCATACTCACACTTGAGAGACGTACAAATTCACTTTTTTCTTTCCCTCACACACACAAACTCTCTTGTCGTTCACAGTTTGTGGTCTCTTCGTTCTGGTTTAAGGTTTGTTGCTATGGAAAAGTCCCAAAGGCCAAAGTTCGCATGTTCTCTCATCTTCATTTGAAAAGCATGTTCTTTACACGTATTCTTTCTTTTTATTCGATTAATAATTATCCAACCTCCAAGGCCTTAACAGTTTTATGATGGTATAGTTTGAGAGTTGACAGTTTTAACTTAACCATTGTATGAAATTTTATTCAAATTCATACAAAAATTCTTTTGGTATGATCTGAGAATATAAGTCTTTGACAGTTTTGATAAATTATAGTATGAATTTTTAATTAAATTAAATTTATAAAATCTTGATATTATGTTTTGAGAATCAATGTTTTTGGCCCATCTGTTGTATGAATTTTTTTATTCAAATTCATACTAAAATCCTTTTGATATGCTTCGTATTGACGATTTTGATAGAATTATGGTATAAATCTTTATTCAAATTCAAATTTTAAAATCGTGATGGTTAATTTAAAGGATTGACAATTTTGATACAATTATAATAAGAATTTTTTATTTAAATTCATTACATAAAAAATAGTGTTATCTCACATATCTTAGATTCATATTTATGATTATACAGTTCTTAATAAAAAAAATATATTGTAATAAAAAGATTAATCGTGAAAATAGACAATATGTACAATAATATTCACATACGTTAAGCTTGTTAGATGATCTGAGACCAAGGTGAAAAACCATGGTCACAACCTAGCGTGACTTTCACCTTAGATTGAACTATATTTACAAATACCAAATGTTATTCGAAATGTAAAAACTTTATTTTCATTTATTCTTATTTTTAAAAAGTTTTATATTATAATCTATATGGTTAATATTATCTTTTAATAGTCATATTTATCGGCGTTTAGGACTAATAACACTTCAATATGTCTCTTCATACTTCCAATTTTTTAAGAATTTATAACATTTTTCCAATGTATTGTTATGCGATGCATATGTATGAATGAACGCATATCAACTCACATTTAATTGCGGAATCGGCACTTTTATTTCACGCTGCACACACAGCAGCAGTAGATAAAGACGAATGATGAATCATTCAGAATAGGATATGTGATGGATTTATCAAAATTTTCTTTATTTAAATTTTGAATTTTAAATATATTTTAGATAAGATATTTATTATTATTACAGTTTTATTTTTTATTATTTATTTTTAATTATTCATAAACATTATCTTCTATAAATTTTTATAGTAATTTTAATGATAATTTTTTTATCTTTAATTTATTTTCAATTTGTTTGTAAGATCCAATTTTTTTACATTTTTCACAAAATATTTTCAATATTAGAGCTTGCTTCCTACAAATTGTGAGAAATTTTTTTATCGAGTGCTAAACATAATGAGATTGAGTGTTAAATTGAGTGATTTATTGTTTAAACAATTTTTGATGTAAGCTGTCTACTTTAATCAATCACCTGCAATTCCAATGTTTAATGGTGAAAATTATTATATTTAGGCCATCAAGATAATTTTTTTTAAGATCTTAAGGTTTATGGAACATTGTAATTTCTGAAGTTGATTCACCATCATTGAAAAAAAATTCAACCATTTCACATATCAAAGCTTATGAGGAGAAATTGAAGAAAGATAAAGTTATCAGTTACTTATATGCAAGACTTGCATATCATATTTTTACTAAAATCGTAGACTTGGAAACACCTAAATAGATGTGGGACAAGATTCAAGATAAATTTGAAGGTAGTAGCAGAGTAAAATCTATTAGGCTTCTTATATTGAAGAAAGAATTTGAATTGATGAAGATGAAGGATAATGAATCAGTCAAAAATTATTTTGGTAGGTTAATAGATGTTGCAAACCAAATGTGATTTCTCGGTGAAAAATTATTTACATATCAAAAGATTTGAAGTCAAGATTTCTGCAATTGAAGAGTCTAATGATTTGCAAACTCTCACAATTATTGACTTGACCAGCAAACTTCATGCACAAGAGCAAAGAATCTCGATTAGAAATGCTGAAGCTATTGAAGGTGTCTTTCAAGCAAAGCACAATGGAAGAAATTTTGGAAAGTCACGAACTTTCAATAATTACAAAGGAAAAGTTGAAGGTTCTTCGAGAAAAGGTAATTTTTTCCCTTGTTCTCATTGTCAAAGAACCAACCACACTGAAGAAGATTGTTGGTTTAAAGATAAACCTATTTTTTAATGTGATTTTTGCAATAAAAATGGCCACAATGAAGAATATTGTTGATTAAAGAAGAGTACAACAATTAGAAAAATAGGCAAATGTGATTGAAGAAAAAAAAATGATGACGAACATAAAATATTTATTTATGGCATCTTAACAACTCATTTCACATGAATTCAATACTTGGCTCTCATTGACAATGGTTGCACTAGTTACATGATTAAATATTTATCATTTTTTACCTCCATTAACGAATCAATTGAATCGAAAGTCAAGATGAAAAATGGTAAAACTGTGTAAGCCAATAGAAAAGGAACAATTTTTATATCAACCCAGAAAGGTATCATAATTGTCAAAGATTTTACATTCCATAATTGGATCAAAATCTTCTTAGTGTTCTCCAAATGCTAAAAAATAGATATGAAATCTCTTTCATAGAGAATTATTGTTTTATCATGGATAAACATGATTTAGAGATTGCAAAGATTGAAATGATCAAAAATAATTTTTATTTGAAATTTGATTTAGTTGAAGATCATGATTTTATTACTAAAATTGATGAGAGTAATGTTTGACATGAAAGATTTTGTCACACTTTTATGCAAGATGTATTTGATATGACAAATTCCAACAAATGGTATTTAAAGACAGAAAGTGAGTTAAATTGAATGACTATGATAATAATTTAGGTAAAGAAATTGATGTGCAATAACTTGTTGACATGATACTTCAAAAATCAAGTTTTGAAATTCATGAAACTAAAGTTTGTAAAGTTCATGACAAATATCAAAGAGGAACGTTAGATTTATAAGATTTTCCTTTATTTAAATTTTGAATTTTGAATAAATTTTAGATAAGATGTGTTATTGTTACTATTTTATCTTTTACATCTTGTTTTTAATTATTCAATATGATCTCAATAGATAGAGATTTTAGTAGACGATATTTGTTAAAAAATTTAAATTGATTGCATCATAATTTTCTATCTTCAATTTTAATTTCAATTTGCCGGCAAATCCAATTTTTCTACATTTTTCACAGAATATTTCCAACAATATGTAATTCAGTATCTCTTTCCACTTGAAGAAATCAAAAAGCTAATGAAATTTAAGACTAAACCGCGACACATGACCACGAACTCAATGGAAGAAAAGTGTTATTCACATCACACACTTGTACAACAGGTGCAATCAGTTGCCAGAGAATGGGATGAATGATGATGGTTTTCCATTTCCAATCATAAAGTACTACTACCACTAATATTTTGCATGTTAGTGAAAGAGCTAAATCATAGTCACATAGTGATGATCCTAAACTATAATAATCACATTCTCTAATAATAATAGTAGTTAACCCACACAACTACTAACTAACTATTAGTCTATTAGTATCATTCTCACCTGGTAGGCTTATAAACCGTACAAGGGAACAAAGTCAAAGAAAAATAACCTGAAACGACTTCATTCATAGTTAAGTACAAGAATGTCCTGCTCCATCATCTTGGTGCCAGTTGAGAAATTGTAACATCATTGATTGAAGAAAATTTGAACCCAATGCTTGATGTTTCTTCCTCATCTTCATGTTTCTTAACTGAAAACGCAGGCATTTTGGGAGTACCAATAGTTGCACCTTCATTCTTCAGCAGAGAATCAATTTCCAACATGGAGGGTCTATCTGCAGAGTTCTCTTGAACGCATAACAAAGCCACCTGCATGCATCTCATGATCTTACAAGGTGATGTTGTATCATCCAATGACGGCTCAACAAACTCTACACCTCTACCTTCCCTCCATAGCTCATATGCCTGAAATAAATGACCCACATGACTAATTTCAGCATCAAGCAAACCACGAATAAATCATAGATACATTAGTCGTAGAAAAAAGTATGCGATATCTGAAAACTTACATATTCCAAAAGGGTGATATTTTCATGCGCGCCATAATAACATGAAGTTCTCTTTCCACTTATGATTTGCAAGAGGAGAACTCCAAAACTATAAACATCGTACTTCGTTGAGTATATGCCTTTTCTCACATACTCAGGAGGTACATACCCACTGCAAAGTCAACAGGAAGTGATTAGAGACATGAAGGAACAACCATAACAACTCACCAATCATAATTTACTTACTATGTTCCAACGATCCTGCTTGTGTTTGCTTCCAAGTCATACTTCCTGAAAAGCCTAGCCATACCAAAATCTGATATCTTCGGATTCATATCATGATCTAGCAAAACATTACTAGCTTTAAGATCGCGATGGATTATAGTAAAATTTGAGTTCTCTTGGAGATAAAGAAGGCCTTGAGTAACGCCTTCGATGATATTGACACGCTTGTTCCAGTCTAAAAGAATTGATTTCCTTAGATCTGCATCAATTTCAGCACTGAATTATTAGTCACAGAAACGTGTAGCTGAACAAAACAGTCCATTCTGGAATGATTGCTAATTTGAAGTTTAATTGTGCTTAATGGCAGGTTAAGATGCTTAGAAGAAATGTATCAACTTAATGGGGGACAAGTAATGTAACAACAGACCAAAGAGAAAACGATCTAAGCTTTTGTTTGGCAGGTATTCATAGATCAGAATCTTCTCTTCCCTTTTTGTGCAGTAACCCAGAAGTCTAACTAAATTCACATGTTGTAGTCTTGCTGTAAGCGTGATTTCATTCTTGAACTCTTCAAGGCCTTGATTTGAAGTTTCTGAGAGTCTTTTTACAGCTATTTCCTGTCCCCTCCGTAATTTGCCCTGACAGAATCAAATCATAATTTAGTCATCCAAGAATTACTTAACTGCTGCGTAACTGAGGCATGGGTTTTATTTGCCAAGATGTATATATAACAGAAAGCCTTCAAGTATATATTCTATGGTCCATAAATATTTAAAAGCATTCTTTTCTGATGTTAAAGTTGTTCACAAAGTGGAGAATTCCCATTCCTTTGGTCAATTGATCACCAGAAAACAAGGCACAAACTCTATATTCATCCCAATTTCTGACACTTTTGTGTTGAGAATAAGCAGGCTCCTTGATACTTGATAGAATGACTGTCAAGGCTGTAACTATCTCTTATAAGCCTTTGGTTACTTGGCATTATTAGGTGCTGAATAAGTAGATATTTTTTCACTCGAAATTTATTCATTTGGGTCAATGTTAAGTGACTGAAGATGCATAAGCATAAGCTGTAGCTATGATTCATGCATGCCTCCATATTAAATTTAAGGGCTAACATTGGTTTTTTTTTTTCATGTAAAATTAGCAATTTTTGAATACCAATTTTACAGAGATGAAAAACATCATTAACCCTAAACTTGATGTAGCACTCTATGTTGAAAAAAATTGCTGGATGTGATGTAAAGGAGTTTTCCCTAACGGGAGATTAAAATATCTGAACAATTTTTAATACCTACAAATCATATAAAGAATACATCATCACTATCTGACCAAATAAATAAAGGGGCTAACTTTCAATTGACAAATTATATTTGCGCCAAATCTTACCTTGTAAACCGTGCCAAATCCACCCTCTCCGAGCCTATTATCTTTGGAAAAGTTATTTGTTGCCACTTTAATAGTGAGATAACTAAATACTATCAGATCAGAAGCGTTTCCATCGATATCTTTTTCTGTTGCTGATAAATATCTCAGTTTATATAATATTTTTGTGACAGTAGTGGCTGCTGTTCCTGCCAAAACAGGGGAACATAAATTAAAGGAAAAGCGTACACAAGTCAATCTCTTGATAAGGGAAATTACTTCCTTACCTCGATGGTAGTAGCAAAGTACAATTCCCAATAGAAGCGCCAAAGTCAGAGTTGAAAGCAGAACAATTATCACCAATCTCCTCTTGTGATGATCTTCGTCAACTTCTTGAGCTGAAGAATTGTGTTGCAAAGAAAGTGATGCACACAGAAATTAAGAATACTTTCAACCTGATTGGATACAAGATAGATAGAACTACCTTACCTAATAGGAAATAAATAGCTATTTTAAGTAGAAAAGTTATAAAAACACATCTAAACTTGTATTCAAACATCTTGTTTATGCATATAAACAAAATTACAAAAATTAATTATTATGTCACTCACCTGCCCTTGAAAGTTCCCAATTATCGTCATTGCCTACTTGGAAAACGCTGTAACCAAGTAGCCCATTTTCCTTTGCATAAGAAACTTTGGCCTTGATTACCTCCACATCATCAAAATTAACCCATGTCACAGGCGCAACAGTGAACTGATTCACCACAAAACTAGCATTGTAATGCGAAACAACTCCATTCCCAAAGCTTTTCATGTAACTCTTTATCAACTTATAAGCCATGGAACCATCCTTTGTAGTGGCAGGTCCTGATGCCGGTGCTCCAACACCAGTTTCTGCTCCAGGTGTCACAACTTTCCACAGATATCCATGATAAGGCAACCCTATTAACAGCTTCTTAGAAGAAAACCCCCTCCTCCTCCACTCCTTGATGCCAGAATCAGTGTTGTCCCAACCTGATGAACCATACAAAGCTGCATGAAAACCTGTAACATTGTCCCTCCTAGGAAGATAGTAATCATAAGCCACAAAATGCACCCAATCCAAATTCTCCTGCATTGAGTCAAAGGGGTAACTCGTGGAGTCTGAAGCCTTAAGATAGTAACCTGACATCACCAACAACAACTTTTTCTTGCTAGAGTTTCTTGCCTCAGAAGTTATAGCAGCACGCCACTCCTTCAAAAGGGTTCTGAAATTTTCAAGGTCTGAACCTTGTTGCCTTGGTCCCGCCCCATAGAGGTCTATGCCGTGAAAGCCATATAGCCTGGCTGTTGTGATGGAAGAATCAATGAAAGAGTTTCTGTGAGAGGATTGGTTCAGCATTGAGGAGAAGACTGAAGTGTCCCCTCTGCCACCCCTGATGGACAGAAGAGTTGTAACGGAAGGGTTTTGGAGCCTCACTGTGGTGGTGAAGGTGGAGAACTTGTGCACCTCCGAAGAGTTGATGAAGATGCTGTAGCTGGTGGAGTTTATGAAGGCGAAAGCGCATAGGAGGTGAGTGAAAAGGGTGGCTTTTATGTCTGAAGCCGAAATTTCGCTGCCTGAATAGTAGTAACCAGCTTTCACCCACAAAGGAGTCTCAGCAGAAGAATGAGATTTGAGAAGGAGGAAGAAGGTAAGAACAAGAGTGAAGAAAACGATGAGAGTTGAAGCCATCGCTTAATTATGACAACTGTTGTCATACTCTTTCTAAGACACATGTTTATTTATTTGTGTTGCCAAGTGCTACTGCTGAGTCTTCACACCACCACCTCTCTTTCCTATCCTTTTCGTCGGAAATTGGAAATAGGAAAATATTTTTCTTAGTGCGACAATAAATAAATAATATATATATTTCCTAACCTCACTCGCGATATTGTGCTAATTCAACGAAATTTTACTCGCAATACTAAATGTATCATCTTAAAATGTGTGGATAGAAAGAGATTAAGCATTTTGCCTACTCCTTAATTTGTATAAGTAGTATGAAGTATATGATGAAAAAATAGAAAATAATTAAAATATTGATGAAATAATTAAGAAAATAGTGTGTAAAACTCATTGTTCAATTAAATACTTTACCTCTCCACCACTAGGATTAACTTGGTAGTTGAGTAGAGAGATTAGACTAGTTAAAAATATGAAGATTTAGGTTTAATTCTCGATATTTTTGTAATTTTTTTTTATTTTTTTATTTTAAAAAAAAATACTTTACCTCACATCCTTAACTGCCAAAATAGATGGTTACCAATTTGATCACAATGGAGAGTGTTACACGACACGATTGTAACGTAAATAAAAACAACAATGATGGTTCTAGACTGCATCGATTTGTTCATTTTCTGTTATCTGGTGCAAATAGAGTAAATCCGTGTCAAAGACGTCCACGAAACCTTTCAAATTCAACTGGGACCAGAAAATAATATAACCTTTTTTCTTTTCTTAAATAATATTATACATACAATACAAATTGTACTATATTATTTATTTATTTCTGGCTATTTATCACTTCATTTATTAATAAATAAAAAGAAACATTATTAATAATATATATAAAATTAAAGTAATGTTATTTAAGTTATTATACTATTTTTGTTTGCATTATTCACGTATAAATCGTTACTTTGAACTTCTTTTTTATTATTTTATTTTATTTAACTCTAGTGTAGCATCTTATTTTGTTGAGTAGATACTTTTGTAGAACAAGTAAATCTAATCCTAAACTCCTATTAAGCATGAATTAAAAATAATAAATATATTTTTATTCCTTTAAATTTTAAAAAATATATTTTTTAATTTTTTAAAATTAAAAATTGTATTATTTTCCATAGTTTTAAAATATTATTTTAATTTCTTAAATTTAAAATTTATATTTTTAATCTTTAAAATATAAAAAATATTATTTTAATCTCTTCCAATTTCTTACTATTACTTATGATATTAGTTATTAAAATAATATTTTTTAAATTACAGGATTAGAAAGATAAAATTTAAAATTATGAAATTAAAATAAAACTTTTTGATATTTTGAAAATCAAAACATAAATTTTAAGTTTGAAAGACAAAAGAACACATATACTCTAAATTTAAAAGGACAAAAAATATAATTAAATTATTAAAAATTATATTATAACTTTCATTTATAATAATAATCATTGATTCAAAAATTAACAAAATATTATAATTAAATTTATATTTTATTATATATATGTATTTAAATTTATTATAATTATTAATTTTTAATTAATAATTATGAGTACATTTTATTCTTTAAAATGTATTCTTCACGTGGAAATTTTTAAAAATTTATACGAAAACTTGATTGTTGAAATAAATAATGAACAAAAAATAACTTTAAAAGAGTAAGGTTTTCAATTTTATTTTTTTTTGTTGTCATTTTTGTGAGAAGAGGATTATATCTCTCTATCCTTCAATTTGGTATCGTGGCCAACATATGATAGGTAGCTGTTAGGGGTGGGTAAATGGCCTGTTTTAACTATGAGAAATTGAGTTCATGCGAATTGACTCGTGTACTACAAAAGAATTATTATTTTACTGATTTCTTTTGGGAGTTTTTTAAGATAAGAGTGGTTTTAGTATTTTTAATAAATAAGTATAATTATAAATATTAAATGTTAAATTTAATATATTTTTAATTTAAAAGACATTGAACTTTTTTACCTTAATACATTTTAGATTAAATATTTAAGGATAGTATGTTAATACTTTCATGTTTTAGTTAAATATGTGCAAACTTTTATATATTAAGATTTTCATATATATATATATA